TGACACTTCACAATATAGAATACACGAAAGAGGTCTGTGATCAAGAGTTCATTGGGTACATCCGATCAAAGTTACCGTATAGGGTCCTGCATCAGGTTCAAAATCCAATCTAGATGACTAGATCAGTATAATCTGATCGGTTGACATCCGAGCAAATCATATTTATTGGTATAAAGCGATGGAAATCACACGACAAGGCCGTGGGATCTTCGATCAGGATCTTATTGAAAATGATGGTTGGAAGACAAGCGGCTTTGACGATGAAGTTGATAGGCGAACATCCAACCATATGTTCTTTTTGTGTATAATGAGTACATGCACCGGCATTATAAATTTTGAACAAGTATCAAAAAAGTACAAAATAATGCAGCTTCTAATATTCGCGTGGCAACTTCTCGTTCCGGTATAACTAATAATCCTTCCTACGAACATAAGTTTCGACCGTTTCTGACCCATTGATCAATCCCTTGATGGCAACTACTTACAATCTATTCAGTTCATAATCGAATCCAGCTGACCCAGGTGGCCGAATGGAAAGGTACTAGAACCGGGACTGGGATGTACGTAGATTGATACCCGCGCAGATGAGGTACGATTGCACATCGCCGGAGAGTGGCTAACAAAGCAGGATATAGTGGGTCGTGCGTGCATCCGAATATACTTCAAACCTTCCTTTTCCTCTAATCCAACCTCACGATAGAGGGAGCGCAGCCCTGTTTATTGGTACGTGACAGGATGTATCATTTTCGTGCGCGAAATCAAAATGCACCTACATTATCTGGTCCTCTCGGGATCAGCGAAAATACCTGGGACTACGCTGATATTTCTGCGGTACCCATATTCAAAAACTAGTAATTGGCTTTATATAAGCGGTTGTGTCAATTCTGATCGATGAAAAAAGGAAAAATTATATTGACGACCAAGTTTGTGGCAATAGTTTGCCTTTGTAAGCAGTATCTACATAGCTCTAATTTTCAATATTGTGTTTGAATCTCAATTTCGGATTACAAACACATAATTAGACCTTTTTTAGAGTGTAAATGCTGGACGATGTACAAACAAAGTTCTTTCATCCCGTTTTATAAGATACCTTCTGAAGTTTATAAACTTTTGCGCCAAAACGTTTGGTCTATTTGCGTCTTGTTGAATCATTGTGTAAAGGAGCTGGTATAGCTCCTAACCAGATGAAGGCTCCCTGCTGAACGAGCACTTCAGTTTTCCGAAAGAATTCGACTTTGCGAGTCAACAAGCTTGAATTTAGGGTATCTGTTCGAGGGACTGATCGATGATACGACATCACATTTATTCGAGTCGAGTCGACGCCTTAGCAAGTCTTACTATTTTTTCGAGAGATAAAACGTCTTAACAAGGCACGTGTCTCGCACTGATCAAAGAGGGAGTTGAACTTTATTTTGATTTTTCGTGCGAAATGGCGCTTAAAGAAATACCTTAGCCTAGACTTGTTTGGTTAGGGAGCCTCTATTCAGCACTAAACCTCCATTTTATCATATTGCAATCAGCTTATTTCAATTATATGAGATGAACACATTTATACTGAGCTCGCCTGCGTTAATGCGACCGCTATTTAGTATTACACAAGACATGACGTTTAAACTACCATTTGCGTCAGCATGGATATAACACTTCAAATAAGTGGTTAGTTTGGTGTCCAGAAGTGCAGAAGAATAACGATGAAAAGTGTGATTCGCGCCTACTGCATTAAGTGCGAGATCGATTTGATTGGTGGAGTGCTCTTGGGGATAGGCCCGTTGGAACGAATGATGGTGTCACACGACTGAGTGACAGGAAATGACTGTGGGAATTGTGCAGATTGATCTACCTAACGGTCAAGAAGGAGTATAGTCAGGACCGACGATTGACCGATCGCGACCCGCGATCGAAGGTTTGGATCACCAAGGTACGAGAACCAGATCACTCAAGGGGTGAACATCAACTGGAGTACTGGATCGCTAATGACAATGGTATGTGGGTGAATATGAAAGCAAACTGGAAGAGTGGATCGTCAAGATAATCAAGTATGCGAAATTTGGGACGTGACGGCGACCCGACCTTGGAAGCCCGATCGAAGATGTAACCGATCGACCACGATCTATCCTGGGTGTGTACTGCTGATCGTTGTGGATCACACACCGCGATCCACTGCACCGCAATCCACTGTACCGCAATCAGCTATGGAGCAATCCGCTGCACTGCGATCCACTGTACCTCGATCTACTATGGAGCAATCCGCTGCACCGCGGTCCACTGTACCGCGATCTACTATGGGGCGATCGAATACGGAGTGTCTGCTGTGGACCACATGAGGCAAGAAGTTAATTACATAGACAGGCGGTGCACAACAGTTGACCTAGCGAACCGATAGGCCTAGTCATAGGTTTTGGATTTGGTTGGTTGACATTAAAGATAATTGAATTTGTAACGAAAGGTACGTATCGACTTTCCCCGGGCAGGAACTTTGGACTCCCGTTGAATAGAGAGTCACCCACGTCTCTGCAAGATTCTCCCTTGGATTGCTTGGCCAGGCGGAAAATCAGTTCTCACCCTCTCCCCCCAACTGCGATCGGGTGCAGGGAACCTAACGGTTCAGATTCAAGATAGCGATACGACCCAAGTGGTCAGAAGGCTCGCGGATCGAGAATCACCATTGGCAAAGGCGACTCTGGGAGAGCTCCCAAGTAAACAAGCGATTGAGTGAAGAATTTCCACGCGATCCGTCCCTACTTTTTACCGGGTAAAGAATTTCCACCCGATCAACACCTATCCCTATAACGGTCAAGTTCAGCTTTAGCTCAAGTTCATCAAGAAGAGCGCAACCCGACCCACCGACGGGTACACAAGGTGAGCAAGAAGACACAGAGCACGGAATCGGGGTACTCCCTCCGTTAGTCGGTCGTCCGGGGCCCAGTGGAGAGTCGGGGTCACAAGGAATTTGTGATCACCACTCCACCACATTAGCCTCCGTAACAAGAGTTCATGTACGTAGCGCCCAACTCAATAAGGAAGATTCAACAAAAATTCAAGAAATTTTTGGAGAGAGTACTTCGTAACGGCAGCAAATTATCTTTGTCCATCTAGACATTCTACCTGCTGCGGAGGCCTCGATCCGTCTGTATTAACATGACTGCGCTAGCCATATTAGTGCTCTTGTGACTTTACGGCCGGGACACCAATCGCAAATTTCTACTCAGCAAGACCTATCGTAGACTAAAGTTGTGATGATTTATTTGCGGCCTGATCGTCGAAGCGATAATTGCGGAGAAGAAAGACACAACCAAAGAAGATACTTGCGACCCCTATCAACTCCTGCAGTGACTGCATTGGTAATTATAAATGCTTTTGTTGCTGAGGTCGAATAAATGCACGTTAATTACCCACCAGAAGTCAAATAGCAGTACCTGGACATGGTAGGGCTCGCAGAGAGTCTCCCATTGTACGATAATAATTTAAAATCGTTGATTACATGTCTACTTTATAACGACTTATGTTTTACGTAAACTTGACATTTCTTTGATATTCTTTTCCTTGATTTACATTTAGCCAATCACAGCGCTAAGATGAATGCAGGACTTTTTCAAATGAAGGGTGAGTGGTGAATTGCAGCTTTCTTCATTGCGACAATAATGCTCGACATCAGTACACTTTCATATCTTGTATCTGGTGGTTGACACACGTCAGCCCTCCAACAAATGATAAGGTGTTCTGATACCGCTTTCAATCGGATCTCATCCTTGTTGTGAACCACACATGTTACATCGTTTATCAAATGACGTGTAACCCCATTACACAATTCGCTGAGTACTGGTGTTTATCTGTCGCCGGCTTCATCTTTCTATGTACTTCACGATCACAGTACCTTTTCATTCATAAAAGAGATCACCTCGTAGCTCAGGGCTAGGAGGCAAATTTCACAGCAAACTTGATAATGCTAGCTTTGTCGCGGTAAAGCAACAGGATACCGAGTACATCGCAAGCAAATTCATGCCTTATGACATGTGATTGATACAATATCTTAAGGACAAGACCTACACATATAAAAAAAGTAGACGTTAGAGGCAGAAATGATATCGAAAGTTAGAAGCTCAAACACTGTATAGTATTGATGACCTGTAACGGGCTACCCCGTTACATGAAATTGTCATTAGGAAGAAATTGACAATCTAGAATATTACGTTGAATATTCTTTCAACAATTTCACAAGCATGGTGATATTGTTGGGTGACCGAAGAGTCAACTCATTGGTTGATATCGTGATATATCAACTTACCAATCGCTGCTAGACGCGCGCAATGGGTGGTTAGTAGGCGTCATCATACATTTAGTTATATTAGTATAATTGAGACAGGACAAACAGAGACACAAGAGTTATAGGAATCAATTAAATTGATAACAGTTTTACTTTTCTACGACTAGAGTTTTTCACCTTAGTCGTTCTACCTCCCTCTGTGTAATTCTACACCTAGCAGGGCACTGACCATCACTACAGTCAGTGATAGTAAACTCCATACTGGTTGACCAGTACGTAGTCGTCAGTGCCCCGTTACATGACCCCTACTAATGAAGTGTGGAGGTAGTAGAAGGTGCGCTCGGGTATATCGGACCATTTACAACCGTGCCCGAAAATAGAACAGTATACGCCAAATCGTCTACGCAAGTTGCGCTCACGTCTTTTTTCTACACTTCTCTGTTTAAGCCGTATATGGATTTTACCCACGTGAATGCAACGCAATTGGGTCACGAAGCATGACTTTGTCACGGTGTGTACGTCGATGGGCTTATATTCGAGCAGTTCGTTGTGCATTGATTGTGGACGATGTAGTCGATGGACAATCGTGTCGTAATCAGTAAAAGATAGCCCGTCTCGTCAGCTTTTGTTATCAGGATCGCGCGAGGTTGTCAGAATGTGGGCGGTATTGCGATGTGCTTGCTCGATGATTGGATGAAACCAAAGATTCTATGCGTAACTAGTGTGAGAAAACAATATGCAGCTGCTCGTGGTAGTGGCCGGGCCTGTGCTCGCGTTGTTGGCGTTGCTCGTGGCTCGAACGAGGACGAGTTGGGGTCGACGCGTGTTTTTATTGGATGATAAAGTGGTCGTCATCACGGGCGCTGCCAATGGCATTGGACGGCGACTGGCGCACAAGGTCTTTAGCGAGACTCGTTGTGTGACGTTAGTCCTGCTTGATATCGATGCAGAAGGGCTCGAGGGGCTTCAGACAGAGTTATTACTACAGTCGACACAGAGGCACCACCACCTGAATCAAAGCGTGTTTGTATACGAGTGCAATGTCGCTGATTATCGGTGAGTGCGTTTTTGTCCAATTGGTGGCCGCATTTGAATGGCATCATAGACTCCAGAGATGGCGTGACACTCACGACTACTGAGTGTTTGTTTACTGCGACTGCCATTGCTGTGTTGGGTTGGGTTGATGGGTGTTTTCGGTTAATTGTGTGCGTGTGTGTGTGTGTGTGAGAGTTGACAGAGCAGTGAGTGCGTGTATGGCTCGTGTGGTTCAGGATGTTGCGCCAAAGCACATTGGCGTATTGGTGAATAATGCCGGTAGGCAAACAGTGTGTCAATGGTCGTTGGTGCTTTTATTAATTCGGCTCCCCATGTTTGACGTGGTCGTTTGATATGGACATGCATGTTTTTATAGGTGTGGTAATGGGACAATCACTAGAGCACTTGACTCCCGAGCAGATCCAAAAGACGTTTGCAGTGAACACGCTCGCACATTTCTGGACCGTGAAGACAGCGATGCCGTCGATGAAAAAGGCGTCCGAAGCACTGCTTGTGACCGTGTCGTCCGTGATGGGCATGACAAGCAGCGCTAAACTGACCGACTATTGTGCAAGCAAAGCTGCAGCCAATGCTTTCCACGAAGCTCGTGCGTTGAGTATACGCAGTAGCTTTTCGAGATCGCAGAGGACGTTCGAAAACTGACAACTTTGGTGATGTCACTGCTTTCTACAGTTCGCTTAGAGCTGTGGCGCGATAATATCACGTCGATTCGGACGCTGTTGGTCTGTCCTGCTGCAGTGGACACGAGTATGTTTGCTGGTGTTTTGGCTGCGGACGATTGGGCGCTGAAGATATCGCGCTTTTGTATTCCTATACTTGCCGAGTCTGCGGTGGCCGACACGATTTACCGTGCCATGGTACGCGGCGACGAGTTGATCGTATCGTGTGCCTCAGGGTGGAGAGGGATAGTACTGTCGTGGGCTCCCGCCATTTCACGACTTTTGCCTGTACCATTGTACGACCTTGTAGTTCGCTTGGGTGGTGGTCTGAATGGCATGGATACGTTTGTCGGAAGGAACGGTTATCGCGCACAAAGCAAAAAAGACAAGGACGATTAGACGATCGTATCAGGCATGCTGGGCGATTAATGCACGAGAATGACAGTCTCTTACTTTGTAAAGTCTTCAAACTTGTGGAATCTCTTCCCTTGACGTTCGCTTGGACAAGACCACGGATTGATGGGGGAAGCACAGTGCATGTACGACTTCCTACTCTGGCAAAACCACTTTTGTCACGCACGCTGTCTTACAATTACCATATATGCCAGACGCGAGACCAAAAAACCATGTACTTTAGTAGGGTTTCGTCCCTCTTGGATCTCACCTCGTCCCATGAGCTACGATTGCACAAGCGTAACTGTCCAACGTTTTCATAAACACTACGTCAATCGTACAAGTTACGAAAACAAACCCGTTTGAAGACAAATAGTACCACAGCAAGGACACGATGTCGCAATCCGGTACCAATCCTCGTTACTGCTAGCGACCCGATGTTGGCACGATGTCGCAACCGGTAGTAATTATTGATGCTGTTAGCTCGCACAGCTCCAGCTTTGACGCAGTCAGCACGATTGCAACTCCTACAAACAAGTCGACGTATGGACACAAACGCCGGGCCAATGTAAATAATTCCGCAAGTCTCGATGATATCCAGCCCAGCATTTCCTTGCTCACATCGAGCTAAACAGAAGTCGCTGCATATGCCTTTCGCCATCATCCGGGCATAGCAAATCTCCCTGAAACTTGACGAACACGAATTGACCTTGCACGTTACGTACTTGACTGTCAAGCTTTGTTCGTTATCGTTGCACATAACAAAAGGTCATGTGGTGCAGTGTTGCTGCCACTTTACTCACAGTGGATCATCGAATATCACGCATGCAGCCAACGAAGAGTAGCTGCAGACACATCGCTCATCGATACAGAAAGGATATGGGCAGCAAGCAGTAACTGATGCAGCTTCGGGAACAGACAGTCTCATATCATACTTCCTCTTTTCCACTTCGCTACAAAAAGCACAAGGACATGATGCGCACCTTCCCATGTTGCTGGCCCTCTGAACTTATAAGTGTGTCCACCGCTTTTCCGCGTCTAGTAGAACGACGTTTTTACTAGAACGAGCTCATTCCAATGTACGAGTAGGCATTGTGTGACTACGGCATTGTATAGTAATGATGACAATAAAAGCAGTAATAGAGGTATCTGTGTACTACCAGGAGGAGGAGCACAAACACGCGACGCAATCAACGTGCAGTCGAAGCAACTTCTCGTGTCTTACAGAACGCCGTTGATGACCGATGGCTTTGGTCACCCATTTGTCCCCGCGCTTCAAGTTACTTACCAGGAGGAGGAGCACAAACACGCGACGCAATCAACGTGCAGTCGAAGCAACTTCTCGTGTCTTACAGAACGCCGTTGATGACCGATGGCTTTGGTCACCCATTTGTCCCCGCGCTTCAGGTTACTTGTATGCGTCGTGTGGTGCTCTAATGGTGTGGTAATTAGGGCGGCAAGCAGTGGCGTTGTTCTACCCTTTTTATCATTCAGAAGCGTCCAAGACAACTATACCTACCGATGTACAACGTACAGCGTCGTGCAAATGTCAAAACGAGAGTTTACGGATAAAGAGAGCGCTAGTCATCAGGAACGCCGTGAGTATTCGTAGCGATGGGTCCATTTGATTGTGAATAGTTGAAGTGACAGACCGCGAGAGGGTGAAAAAGCGATTGCTACTTCAACGCCGACGGCGGGCCATCGCGATTGGAGTCGCTGTTGTAATTAGAGCCGTCGAATGTGCCCTGACGACGAATTTCACACTTGAAGTAAAAGGCCAAACGTCACGATTATCTCTGCTTGTGCCTAGACATGCGTGGTCCACGTAACTAGTGATCATGTCCACGTTCGTAGAGCCCCACGGGCTTGCGCCAACGAGCAACAATGCCATCAAAACCCACCCGCTCTGATCAACTATAAGAAGCCGAGTTGGTGGCTGGCATTCATTCCCCATGTAGCAGTGTTGGTGCGGTAATCAAATAGGAAAAGTCAAGAAGAAGGGAGGGACGACAAGTTGCGTGGTAAATCATACCAAGCGCCTTACCGATACAGATCGGCGCACGTCACTGTCTGTTTCAGTTTGACACAGAGAGGATGTGCGGGACCTTCTGCTGTGCTGAACCTACTGCTACATCAGTGGCTATGGAGATCATCTGTGTGCACTTGCTCGACCTCAATCTATATGGCGATGATTCGGCCGTCGTTAGCAGCATCTGCTCGTCTTGGTCGCATAATACGTTGCGTCATTGATCCTGTATATTCTATCGTCGCCTTGTGCTGCTGCTTCGGGACGTTGCTTGATGTGGTGCAGCTCGGCTTGTTAGTACCTTCGTGCTGCGCCCTGTAGCACGCTGTTGAAACGGCCCGTATATCAAATTTGTTGCCCCATGGGCCTCAATGGTCTCCTGATGACTTTAGACGGGTAGCATTCCCTCTGAGGACAGATACGGACTGTACACTTGGACTGCATATGCTTACATGTGGCAAACGAATAGGTGCGGACGTGCACTTTTATCCGACGTCTTCCTGCGTATTGATGCCAGCGAGACGACACAGCCCACATTGTAATCGTCAAAGTGTTGTTGCCATGTATTCGTAGCGTGGTTTTCGCTTTCGAGGAAGAGATCCAGGTGATGCTAGCAGAGAAAGAAAGCCATGCCACTCAAGTAAGTGTACACGCCATGTGGTCATCCTCGAGCCATCGTTTTTCTTCTTCTGTGTCTTTTATTCTACCACAGATCAGGGCAATCGCGATCAAGTGAGAGCGAGTATAAGATCGAGAGGCTCAGGCGCAGCGAACTGTTTTCTTGTTGTGCCGACGTAGCAGTCGTCCCCAGAGTTAGCTGGACGCTCTTCGTCAACGTCGAGTGTGAGCATACAAGCACTGGCACAAAATAACAAACCAGCACTGTGGTCAGTTACGCAGTTGTTCGTGACATTAAAAACGTCCGAATTGACATCGCAGTGACTGCCGATCCTTACAGTGATGTCTCGGAAAAGCCCATTTCGTTTAGAATGGTGCTGACGGGTCCAGGATGACCCTCTTGGGACGCGAATGACTCCAACAAGTTAGACAGCAAATTGTAATCCAGGTCCAGCGGTTTTGCTGACGAAGAGGTCAAAGAGCCTACTTGCTCATCATCCGTCGCGTCGCCTCGTTGCAGCGATGGCTTGGCGTTTCCTTGATCGGTCTCCGCGTCGTACAAGCACCCAAAGCTTTTTGCAACCTTGGTTTCAGCCAGCTCAGCCTCCAATTCCGTCATTCCGAACGCCAGATCATCCTCATCACTGTTTCCTCCCACAGATCCATCATCACTGTCGCTTTGACTAGGCTCGTCTTCGTCCATAAAGTGCTCCCCCCAGGGTGCATCCAAGCCTGCGTGACCCTCCCTCTTGACGTTTTGGCCACTTAAAATGTTCATGAACGAGCCCACGTCGAAGTGGACGGGTTCGGCTCCATCCACACCTCCCACACCAGACTCCCCGTCAACGAACTTGCCAAACATACTAGTTATGCGCTGCAGATCGTCAGCGACACCTGGAGTGGAAGGATCTCCAGTTTGAGCAGCACGCTCCAGTCGACTTTCCATCGTGTCCGGATGTATGTACAGCCACGAGTCGTCATCATCTGGCTCAATTGGCTGTGTCGACAGCTCAACGCCCGTTTGTTGCAACGCTTCCTCGATTATCTGCTTCCATGGCTTTCCCAGCTGGTCTTCGCTATCACCGATATAGAGCAACTCCAGACCGCAGGCAAGTTTGACGCCAAGGTCTCCTGCTTGTGCATCACGATCAGCGGCTTCTGCATCCTTTGCCTTCTCCTTCACATGATAGCGTGCGTCTCGACGAAGAAAAACCTTTGGCGGAAAAAACGTCTGTTGCTTGAGTTGAGCAAACATCGCTCTCGAGAACGTGACTCTCACTTCGACTACTTCCTCTCCTGCTGGCATGAACGTCGCCATCTTGCCACACACGAGACCAGCCTGTTTCGGCTCCCGATAGTAGAATGCCTCGACTGCCGGCCCCACTAGGTGTTTATTTACCGCAATCACCCGTGCGGCCTTCTCCGGTAGCAAACACCGCACTGCTTGACGATTTTCGCGCATATAGGCCGGCACTTGGTCCAGTTTCCGCTGAATGAGCTGCTGCACTGCAGCACTGGCTTTTGTCTTCACACTGGTGTCCAGCACCTGCTCCAATGCATCGTCGTCAAACAGCTCTCCCTCTTTTCCACTCCTGTTGGCAGGAGCAGGAGGTGCAAGGTGGAGTTTTCCGTGGAGCACAAACACCCGGCGATCGCAGTGTTCAGGATTGACCCAGTCAGGCAGCGCTTCGGCACTTTCAATGAGCAGCAACTCTCCATCAGAGTCCACGATACGTCCTACGACACCTGGGAACTTGTTGGTGATGTCGAACACCAATTTGGCCACGACCCACTCGTCTTGGATCGCATCGCCAACCAACGAGGACCCCGACAGAATATAACGCCCGTTTCTGGTTCGAGTCACCTCGAGGTGAAACGCATGTTTGTGCCACAGAAATCTCTTCGTCTCTTGTGCTGCATAGGAAAGAAGTTCTCGGCACTGTTGCTCTGCTGACTGGAGCAGCTCACTTGACGTTCGAGTTGGCCCTGCAGCAGGCAGGAAGAAGCAGTACCGAATTTCATTGTCACTTACGATTGGCGCTGGGAAGAGTTTCATTGGAAAACGATTTGTAGCAACTGCCACATCAAACTTGACGTTATGTAATGTCTGACACGCACCGCACGTTAAAGTGCTTCTCTGCGCAGTTCGGTGGCCCAGATGAGATGCCCACATGTCCGACGTGATGCAAAAGCTTATGGTGACTACAGGTGGCGATACGGTGGTCGAAGAAGAAGTTGCTGGGCACTAAGCCCCAAAACACGTTGTCCACACTGGACGACGCCTTACGTTTGCGCCATTGCTATTGCGCTACTCCTTCTCGCATCGCAGGATACCTTAACATCAATGCGTTCTGCGATTGCTGCACCTCCAACCGCTGCAAAAAGTCGAGCCTCAGTCGATGTGATTGCCTCACTGCGTTTATAGCGACCGTTTCGGCCAGATGCGACGGTCAGTGGAGCTTGACAGCAACAGCCTCGCAACGGCGTGGAGTATCACGTGCCAATGACGGCGTAGTCGGTATCGAGTCGGTCGTTTTCGGTGGGATGTTTCGTACCGCTTGGCACAAAAGCAGTCGAATCAGGTCTGCGCTTGGCCAGCCAAGCGCATTGACTTCTTCGGCTGCTCTTTCATCTCGCCGTCGTACGTGCCCACTGCTACTCACTGAGCGACTGTGATCAGGATCGCCATTGCAAGTACAGCAGGGAGTACAGTTTGCACGAATTTTTGGTGCATGAACTGGAGCAGGTCAGCTCATTTCTTCCTGTTGTGCTCTCGGAAATAGACTGTATGGATAGCAGTGCTTGTTTCTCGTTGTCCATAAGGTATATTGGAGTCGTTCAGGTTTTACCTTACGCTTTCGTATGTCCGTTCCGGCCGCCTCTTGAACGCCGATGGCTTTCCTAGTCACTACCTAGCTTCATTGGAGATCCACGAGGATGAGCAGAGCTTCGCCTGTGATCAATGTAAGCGCCTGAAATGGCACGCCACATTCAGTGACAGATTTTCCTTATGTTCAAAACATGCGCCCTCATCCATTGCAACGACATTGTAGCATATTCTCGATGAAGTTCTAACCACTCAATTGAGTGTCAGAAACAACGAGATTGTGCAGCGAGCAGGAGAAAACAACAGTCCGGTATTCCGCTGTGCTTCACTAGATTCTCCGCTTCTTGTACTAGAATGAACGGCGTCTTGAGCAGTTCCAAGGCGATCTTATAGACAATGTGAGTGATCGTGGCCAGCTTTGCCGGCTGGGCAAAGATGCGCTCGTCTTGTCAAGTCGATGGACGTCCCAAAGATACCATAATCAAGCCCTCTGTTAGCAGATTGAGACCACACGACCTCTACAGCAGAAACACCTGTAAATGAACTTGAGCCGCATACCTTCTTCAGCTGTGCCATTATCGAAGGACCTTCGTCGTAAGCCTTATCACAAATACGTGCCGCGAGAATGCAGCGTTGCATAGTACATTACCTCTTCGTAGTTGCAAGTAGCAGGCACACGCGTGGCAGTCGTGTCGGAAAATGAGGATGACAGTCGAACTCCAAATGAGTATGCGCGCAGCAAAATAGGGACGACAGGGCAAGTTTGGCTTATTCTTTATAGCCATGACTTCAACTACCAACTGGCATATCTGTACCTAAAATCCACCACAAAGTGACAGAAGCTATATCATTGACAAGGCAAACCCAGTCCCTGCTTGTAACCGGATCCGCCCCCTGATGAGACGGTGCCAACGAGATGCACGCATTCTTTGCTTGCACAGAATAGCCCTGTCATGCAAATTTTGGCGCAGACACGACATCGAAGATGCATTCGTCACTCTTAAAATCAGCTTTCGCCAATTCAAAACGTGCTTAACAGTGCGAGAATGCATGTGTTGGAAGAAGTCATGCAAAGGCAATCGTCTCGGGGGTCGAGCAACATCTCACGTTTATCGTCTGTCAAGCACACGGTACAGGGAGAGCAAGGTGCCTTTTTCTGATATTACATCGTGTCGATGATGTTTTGAATGGCTTCTCAGCTATCGATCAGCCAGACTCTTGTCGCTGCTTATGATATGTGTAGATTCCTCGCTAGCCCTGTGCACGTGATTTGCGGCACTTCCCTTCTCCACTTTACAACCGAACCATCATGACAGCTACAGGATGCGCGCGATCTACACCGCCGCCTGAGCAGTTGCAAATCTCCTATGATACGCACATCGGGGCTCTTGTGGCAGCAGCATGGGCCATGAGGGATTCCCTTCGTAGAGTGCAGTCAGCAAGTGTCGTGACCTGCTTCTTCTCATGCTCGGCTGGGCTTGCCCGGGGTCTTTGACTGGGTCTTGTTGAAAAATGTCACGCGCGATGTTGGAAATAGAGCAGAAAACTTGCTTTGGGGAGATCGTCGTCGTCAGTCTCTTGTCAGAAGTGGTCGCGAGTTGGGACGTCAAATCGACAAAATGGTGAGCTTAGAGTAAGATAAGCAAATGATAGCCGCTAACCCGAAGAACACTCATAGGATGCTTTGAAAAAGCGATATCACTCCTCAATCCTTTCGTAAGATGCTAATGCTACTACCAATAGTTCAACTTCGCCTCTCTTAGCACAAGTAAGAAACGACGAAAACGTTGCTGGGATGAAAGACGATCAAAAAACGATTGATCGATCCTTCGGCGCTGTGCGATTCTAGGTCAATGCCTAGAATTGCAAAAAAACGTACGCACCTAGATCGACTCCGATCGAGAAGGTATCAAGACTCGAATCATTGGATTGGCTTATTAGCGTATGTGTACTGCGCTCCCTTATGGGATATTGAGCTGCCACAACATAATGGCAAAAAGACATAAATGAAACGCGAAACGCAACCGCACATCGTGTCAATCCTTCTCAAATTGTCAATTTGTTGCACCTGAGCCGCTCGCTTCAACTACTGCAGCATCCTCTCTCATTCGGATTAGCCTGCGATCGCTCACGTCATGATCTCGTCTGTAACAATAGCTTGTACCAAAACCCAGAAGGATGGACAAAGAATATACTTCTCGTCCGAATGGTCAAAGCTGTCACTAGCTCATGCCCTTGCATGCCATCGGATCAAATACTTAAGCACCAGATAATCGCGTCGCAACGTACCAATGGCGTATGTTGAACGAGGAGAAGATACTTTCAGCCATTACGTCGAGTTCGATATTGTGCCGCACCGACTTGGATGATAACCGTATGTGTTGATATGTAGGTTTGCCGCTGAAAGTTGAGATGTCGGCCTTCAATTTCGACGCATGCACCGCTGTACACGCTTCTGCTGGCAACCTGCGATGTTTTTTTCCTCGCTGTATGTCGCGTACGCTCGGCTCACATCGACTAGCTCTCGTCATACGTGCCAACAGCCTCTACTCGGCGTTGTGACTTATGCCGATGTCATCAGAGGCCATCCAAGATTGGACGAGAGAGATAGAGAAAAGCGGTTGATAGCTTGCGTTATATGCACACACCGTCGTCCCATTTCTCCCAACTTTTGCCTTCCTTTATCGATAAAAGCTACTATACGCTTCGTCGTCAACTTGAATGTTGAGTTCGACACCGAGCAGAGTAACTGTCTTGGCGACAATAGCATCGAGCTAAGGGGCACATCACGAAATTCTTGGTGCCGTCGTCGCTCTTGTTTCGGCCTACAAGTTACTCAAACTAAAGTCACATGCCTTCCTGCTTACGTGGTGTGGATTTAGAAACGAGCGCGATGACGACCGAGCTCCTCAATCAAGTATGCCCACTCCTAGATGGCGCTTAATTGTTTTACCCGCGAGCTCTTATAATGTTATGAAATGCTCAGAGGAGACGAAAGCTAGATCTGCAGACAAGTTTAGGCATGCACGCAGAGATTCCATATCGTCTAGCTTTGAGGCAATCGGTCCTCGCTGCATTCATTCGCACTCTACGGGCACAATATCTGCATTTTAGCGCTGAGGCAGCTGTCGTCGTCTTGCTTAGAAGCTATGTCTACTTGTCTGCCAAACAACAACGAAGGTATTTCCACACATCCTTGAGGCGGACACAAAGTTTGGTTCACAGCGACTACCGACCTGAACTGTATTGTAGTACTGTAACGTGGCGTTTACAGATCACGACTTTCGCCGTCGCCCCTCGATTCCTTCCATTCGAGCAGCTTCACATCATCTTACCAACGCACTACACTTTTTTCGTAGCCCCCGACTGCTTGGAATCCATGACGAAACCAGCTAGTTCCTGATCGCACACTTGCCCAATCCTGTCGGCCTCATTGCTCCTCAATAGTGTTTGTCTTTCATCACCAACAGCCAGTGCTGAAACATTCGAGCGACACGGCACTTGTGCACTGCCAATTACATTCGGGTGTGGCACTCCTGACCTATTTGCCAACCATCGAGTGGCGCAACTCCCCCCCACCCCCACCCCACCGTCCCCTCGGGACGTCGAGTTTCCACCAATCCAAGCGCGTCGCGACCTCCCCGTCGGTGGTACAGTGCCGGCCGCCTGTACCACCACGACACTTGTCACGCGCGACGTCTCCCTCCCTCGTCGTCGTCGCCGTCGCTCCTCCCGCTCTCGTCCGTCGTCCAGTTGCGACTCGACGTGAGCGCCAATGGCGATGCCCACTATGGCCGCCATTGCCAAGCGCATGACCGGCGGTCCGAACGACTCCAAGTTCTTTAGCACGACGAAGAAGGGCGAGACGCACGAACTGCGCCAGGAGTTGGCCCACCCGAGTCGCGAGAAGAAGAAGGACGCGGTGAAGAAAGTGATTGCCAACATGACGGTCGGCAAAGACGTGTCGATGCTCTTTACCGACGTCGTCAACTGCATCCAGACGGCTGACACGCAGCTCAAGAAACTCGTGTACCTCTACTTGATCAACTACGCCAAGAGCAATCCAGACTTGACGATCTTGGCCGTGAACACGTTTGTCAAAGACGCAGCCGATGCAAATCCGTTGATTCGCGCCCTCTCGGTGCGCACTATGGGGTGCATCCGCGTGGACCGGATCACCGAGTACCTCTGTGAACCCCTGCGACGGTGTCTGCAAGACGACGACCCCTATGTGCGCAAGACCGCGGCGATCTGTGTGTCCAAGCTCTATGACATCAATCCGACAATGGTCGATGAGCAAGGGTTCTTGGACATGCTACGCGACCTGCTCTCGGACCCCAACCCAACGGTTGTGGCCAATGCGATTGCTGCTCTGATGGAAATTGCAGACAAGAGCGGTGGCGTGATGGCATTTACCATTACAAAAGTCGTGCTGCAAAAGCTCTTGGCAGCGCTGAATGAGTGCAATGAATGGGGTCAGGTCTTTGTGCTTGATGCACTCGCGGGGTACACGCCCGTGGACTCTCGAGAAGCGGAAGGGATTATTGAACGCGTGACGCCACGTTTGCAGCACGCAAACTCAGCGGTCGTGCTATCGGCAGTGAAAGTCATCATGAAGTTTCTTGACAAGGTCTCGGACGCCGAGACGGAGCGCAATTTGTCGCGCAAGATGGGACCGCCGCTTGTGACGCTCTTGTCGGCTGAGCCAGAGATCCAGTACGTGGCTCTGCGGAACATCAACCTCATTGTGCAGAAACGCCCGACGATCTTGGCAAACGAGATCAAGGTGTTTTTTTGCAAATACAACGACCCGATATATGTCAAGATGGAGAAGCTTGAGATCATCATTCGTCTCGTCTCGGAGCGCAACATCGAGCAGGTGCTGCTTGAGTTTAAGGAATACGCCACCGAAGTAGATGTGGAATTCGTGCGTCGTGCCGTGCACGCAATCGGTCGCTGTGCTGTCAAGCTCAAGCGTGCTGCGGAGAAGTGTATCAACGTCTTGCTGGAACTGATTCAGACGAAGGTCAATTACATTGTGCAGGAGGCTATTATTGTGATCAAGGACATTTTCCGCAAGTACCCAAACCAGTATGAGAGCATTATTGCCACGCTGTGCGAGAACCTAGACACGCTGGATGAACCCGAGGCGAAGGCGTCTATGATTTGGATCATTGGCGAGTACGCCGAGCGTATCGACAATGCTGACGAGCTCTTGGAGTCGTTCATGGATTCATTCGACGACGAGACTGCCCAGGTGCAGCTGCAACTTCTGACGGCTACTGTGAAATTGTTTCTGAAGCGCCCAAACGAGACGCAGGAAATGGTCCAGAAGGTGCTGCAGAAGGCTACAGAAGAATCTGACAACCCGGACTTGCGCGACCGCGGCTACGTATATTGGCGTCTGCTTTCAGCGAACCCGGAGGCAGCTCACGCTGTCGTGCTTGCAGAAAAGCCAGTCATTAGCGACGACACGTTTGCGCTTGAGCCTTCGATTTTGGACGAGTTGATTGGAAAAATCTCGACGCTTGCGAGCGTTTACCACAAGCTGCCCAGCGCATTCGTTGTGCGTTCACCGGTGTCGGAGCTGCGTGAACACCGCAAGGATGCAAGCGACAGCAACGACGAGGAAGAAAAAGTTTTGTCTCATCAGCCAGAAGACGGGTCAAGTGGTCAACAAGCTGACGGACCCGTTGTTCTGCTTGATATGGGTGACCTCTCTCTCGAAGGGCCTGCCCCGACCGCTTCTGCTCCTACAGCGTCAGCCAGCGCCAGCTTGGTTGACATTTTCGGTGATCAGGTGACCCCGCTTGCTCCGGCTGCAGTCGTCAGTGGTGCCCCCGCTGTCAAAAAGAAGGTCATGATGACTGCGCAGCAAGGCAAAGGTCTGGTGATGACTGGTGCATTCACGCGACGTAGCGGCAATTTCGTACTTGACGTGGATTTTGAGAACCAGTCACCTGCATCAATTGTGGGTGTGAGCATCCAGTTCAACAAAAGCACATTTGGCGTAGTGCCAATGCAAGCAACAGTAACGTTCGCACAGCCGCTGGTACCGGGTCAAACGGCGAATCAGATTGTGCCAATGGGTGTGAGCCCGCAGTTTGTCAATGCCGCGATTGCGCCGAACCTCAACCTACAGGTTGCAATCAAGAACAATTCTAGTGGCGATGTGCTGTACTTCCAGACAGATTTGGATCTCGCGGCGATTTTCTCTGAAGCCGGCAGCATGGCTTCAACGGACTTTATCAGCATGTGGCAGGGTATCGCCGAGGCGAACGAGCACTACTTCACGTTGGCAACTGGAGGACGCAGTGTTGATGCCGTGTCAGAGCAACTGGGACGTAACAATGTGTTCTACGTTGCGAAGCGACCCATTGACGACAAGGAGATTGCGTATTTCTCTGTCAAGACCATGACAAATGTCGTGGCGCTCTTTGAGCTCACCTTTGACAGCTCGGGCACTACAAAGGTGTGCCTCAAGGTGGAGCAGAGGGCCTTCAGTGGCCTTTTGCAGCGAACGTTCGAGCGCTTGATGGTGTGAGAAGAGGTTTGCTGTTGCTTGTCGCAGTGATGCGGAGGAGTGACGGCGCAACAAGCTGGCAGGCGGGCGGATGGGCGTCACTGGCACCCGAGTACTAGTGGGATTCATTTGAGATTCTTTGTTTCAGACGGCGGACATGTACGCATTCTAATCACATGGCAATAGCTTGATTGGGACGTTACCGGAAGGGAGTACAAATATCGGGTACCTACCGTTATTGTCATAGACACGTGCAGAACCTTTGTGCTTTGGAATATGTGTCCATCTGCATCGCTCAATTGTGCCCATCTAGTGATGACGTATCCTGACAGACGCATTGGTAAAGACAATGGAGCGTGCGAGCGCTCAGTGTCGCCCTTTTGAAGTCCACGGACACCTTACAACAGGTAAACTTACAGCATACTATGCAGGCTCATTCGACACGAGCGTGAAAAGATTTGGTGTCAAGTGGGCCAACGATACTGAACTTGCAGTATGCTAGCCCTCAACCAAACAGAACACTGATCACAAGCAATGTTGGGAAACAACCGTTCGCTCCGAGTTACAATGAAACAAACTCATGTTCATGCGTCGAGTTAACTCGTGCTTCGTTCGTCTCGTTCAGACATGCGTTGGTCTCTTTCAACGTCTGATTGCAATGACGCTCGGTCTAGAAGTATCTGAAGAACTTCATACAGCTTTGAACGCAGCCTGCAGGACCTTAGCGTGCCCGCTTTTCAGCTGCCGATATTGATGAAGATGAGCCTAAGCTGTCGCAGCTCTGCCTCCACTGAACTAAGCGTCATCGTGCTTGACACAAATCTACGAGTGTCTGGCAGATGTCAGCGACGTACTGCATGCACGCTCAACTTTTTGTCAGTAGCTGTTTCCGCATGGGATCATGCGACTCTTGTGTGCATCGGTGAGTTTGCTCATAGATACAAGAACTGTGGAAAGCGCGTTTACACATGGACTGCAGCTGCTTCGTATTGCTTGAGAAGACCATGCTTTACACGCAATGACAGTGCAAAAGCTGCGTCTTTGTGCATCATGAATGTGTCACCCTATGCTCATTTGCTTTTGCATCTCATGCACAGGTATAAAGAAGAGTAGCTGCTTGTGAATTGCAAGCTGCTCTGCGACGCATGCCGATTGTCGATGTTGTGACCGAGACGACATGCGTAGTCCAGCCCAAATGGTGAGTATCAAGAGACGCGTGACGATGTACGTCCTAGTGCGGCGAGTGTGGTCGTCGTCATTTGTACAGGTAAGCTCATATTCTGACGCAGTCATGCCACAAGACAGAAGAAGAGGTTACACGCTCATTAAACATACAACCTCTTTTTCATTGTGTGGTACCAACGTAAGTCCACGAGATCCATGACCAAAACGCGTCTCGTAGGTCCGCACCATACAGGTACTCTGCACCTCATTGTGCCGACTGAACTTTCAGCAGCTTTGGCCCGATCGCTTGTTGAGACTGTCGAATAAGACGCGCCGGTAAATTGTCGTTTACATGACAAAGTAAATACATGAATTGTCAGGAACGCCTGAGCGATATTCGTGGCAGGTTTTGTCCGTCACTGGCCACTACAGGCACAAGCTTTGCGAAGCGACTGAGCTCTTCGAAAGGTTTATAGAGCTGACGCAGCGGCTGTTCGCCTCTTTGTTGCATACTATGGCATTTTACTTTGTGGACATTATGAGAAAAGTAGGTTGCCCACATCTGGGTGAACGCCGATCGTATGAACGTAGGTAGTCTATTGCCGTACCATTGTGTTCGTCCCGGACTAGCGCAGAGAAGCGAGGTACCGCATGACGCCAAATGCACGACCAACCTCCTGATTAACCTGCGTTGACGACAAAGGTCGCTTGCGATGCACCTATTGTGCACCCCTCGTGTATGCATGAGGTCACGCATCGTTCTATCTGGTAGTCAACTACTTTAAACCCAAGCTCCAAAGTATCGAAAGTCAGCGATGGCTTCGAGATGCAAACTAACGCTGCATCTCTTTGTTGCACAGCTGTAAATGTCCGTAGTCTTGAGCTCGACGTTGGTCAAACGGACTGCGAGATCGGTATGTCTCGGCACTAATGACGATGACAACAACGATCACGATAAACACACAGAGCTGAGCTCAGTACCATGACTACGCGCCTAACTGATCGCTGAGTAGCAGCTACATAGCCATTCCCGTGCTCTGAAGACGGTATCCTTCGTCCAGACCTGCGCTAGGTTTTTGTTTGATTTTGTCTTTGACAAACGCGTCAACTAGAAACAAAGCCACGGACGCAGTTGGACTTATGCAATGTCAAATGTACACCTCACACACAAACAGGAGCAGGAAGCTGCAGCACTCTTGTGTACTTGTTTGCATGATGGCAGGCGCGTAACTCTTTTTACAATCGACAAACTCTGAATTACGTGCTCGACGGCCGAGCAGCTGAAAGCGCAACTGCAGTTGCGTGTGTTCGTGCAAGCTAACCTCGACCGGCCGGCCTATTCAGTCACCGTATCTCTTTTTCCAACTTCCAGGACAATGTCAGTGCGAGACATCGTGCGAATCGCATGAAGTCCGTACGACGCCGGCCGACAAGTAGTCGAACGGTTGCGCTTGCCAACAAGACTCGACATCAAAACGTACATCGCGAGAAGCCATCGGGTTACGACAACAAAGCAAGTCGGCAAAGGGACGTCCAGGGCTTCGTGTGGCTCGGATCGATCGAGCCGGTCATACTGAGGAACCAGATGAAGAAAACGTCGTCTCTGTCAGGCGACTGACTGCTTCCACGCCACGCAGACGCGTTGCGTGATGATAGTCGAGTCGTGCCGCTAAAGTAGTTGCTGTACGCAGCCTTGCAAATATCCATTCACGTTCGACCCGTGCTCATGTGTTTTCGCTCTCGAAACGGGCGATCGTCAGCTGTTCGAACTGCATCGAACCCGATAAGAACACTTCATCCGGAATCGATAAGGTCCCATTCACACACTTAACGATTCGACTCGCAGGGGTCGTATGGCACTTGTGTGTCTTATACGATTCGGGTTTTCATCCAGCTGGAAAGTAGTCCCTATGCTGCCAAAGCGTCCACCACGGTGACTCGTACTCGATCATATGTGGGGCAGACCTCCTCTTCCGCTGTGGCAATTGGACAGCACCCCACGCGGAAGGCGCGTGAGTCCACGCCTTGTCGAGTGCATGGACGCCGACTTCTAAACTATTCGGTGCGGACCGTGTCAGCTTATGGTTTCGAGTGTAAAAAGCGTGTCCACGAGAGTAAGGTACTAGACAGCTTGCTTACGGGCAACCATCACGACGATGTCGAGAGAACGGTCAATAGGTGTCAGCTGAGTCGGAACAGCCTGCTTGACGGCCTTGACGGCCGGAACGACGTTGAACCGTCATGTACAATTGGAGCTCACTTTTCAATTTTCCTCGTGTATTCTCCCACGTTGACCCAGCAGCCCTCATCTATCTGCCCCCCTTCACAACTACCATGTCACTGGAACCCTTTTCAGTATTTGCTGCTTGCAACCCCGACGATCTCGAGTCGCTTGACGCGGAACTCCTCAGCTTGATCGCCGCTGATGACGACGACAACAGCCCGTTTCCGATGGAGCTCGAGCGAAGCGAGAAAGCATTCGTCGACGACTTTACACCCTTGAAGCTCACGTCAACACCAACGGCAGTGGACGCACTCAACCCTGGCTTCTCGAGGACGGAGGTGCAGGACCTCATGAACCTCCTCGCGCCCGAGCCTCTAAAGATCCCGACCTTTGTCCGGAGCTACTCGGAACCGATTCCGAAGATCGGAAAGCGCACCAAGAAGTGCACCTACGCTGCTCGAAGGGTGCGTGTCGATGTTTCATTGACCTATGACTATGGGAACGACAGCGACACTGACTTTTACTTTTGCTTTTGTTTTTGTGCGTACAGAGAGAGGTGGCATTTCTCCGCGAAGAGTCAATGAAGCTCGAAAGGCGCCTGAATGACCTGCGGGCGAACCGCGCCGTGTCGAGTCACACCCGCGAGCGCGCTGCACTCGAAAGGCACCATCTGGATCAGTCCAAAGAGCAAAACAAGCGGCTTCGGGCTCTGGTGTCGAGCCAAGAGGCCAAGATTCGCCAAGCTGACACCAGCATGGTTGCGGGCAACCGTCCGCTGCAGTTCGCGTTGTCGCCTTAGCTTGCGACTGCAAAGGAGGAGGTGGCTACCTACTTCAGCTATGTTCGCTGACGGTAGTTTGGAGTCTTTGTGTCCGTTTCAAACGTGCTTAGTCGATAATATGAGGTTGTTGTGGATCAGTGCAGTTGGCATGACTTGTTCGCTGCGAAGGCGTTTGCATGTGCTTTGCACGACAGTCGATCGTAATCGAGGCTTCACCACCACTTCATCCACTCAATAAGCCCTGATGTAACCCAGCTTCGTGCCAACACATCTTCGATGCAGTATGCCTCTCATCTCCCTCCTTTCAGTTGGTGTCTTGCGCGAAGGTCGAGTGCGAAGCGTTACCACAACTCTTGACAATCACACGCAAGAGCTCACGTCGACGAAAGAAGCATGTTGGTAACGAATAGAGCGATCTACGATGAAACAACCAACGGTCAGCTGTACCATGTGTTCGCCTCGTCTCCGCAGAAGACGGACGACGATGGGAGTTACGCGACGTGCTCGTGTCAAAGCGAGCGCTCGACACGACTCTCTCTCTTCCGACTGTCATTACTGACGTCAAGCGGGCTGAACGTCGGAAGAAAGTCTCGAGCACTGTCGAGATGTACCAAATGTCCGCCTTTTCAGACCGCTCTGCATTCGTTGTCTTGAATTCGCTGCAATGTCATGTCCAGCAGGTGACTCGTGACGTCCATTCCAATCGATTACATTCTGTCTGTCTCTTTGGTCGCTTTACTCATTTGTATGCGCGTGAGATGAAGCACGACGAGATGTCACACCACAGATGTGAGTTGCGCCACTGTCAACATGGGTCAGCAAAACTTTGCACTTGCTGGATTTGCCTCGTAGAGTCCGTCCTGCTTCCAGATGAAGGTAGCAGTAACCTGTCTGGTCATCGAATAGGCAGGCCATGTACGAATATTTCGATGTGGTTGATTCGAGACTCCGAGTCGTTCTGCAGCGTGCGCGTGATCGTTCTTTGCATTCAATCTCACGACAGTCGACACCTTCTGCTGCACTTTAGTCGGGACTCAAGTGAGACGTGGTGTTTTGTGGACTGACCCAAGTCAAGCAGCAGGGTGTTGGGAGCTATCGTTTTACTCGATGCGTGCTCTAATAAGGATGAAGGATGTGGGTCCGGCAGCAGCTGATCTTTTAGTATTGTTGACAATGCTCGTATACTGTTTGCTGTGTTGGTACTCTGTTAGTCGCTTCATGCTGTCCTTTGTCGTTTACTAGTTGTTCATTTGTGCGGCAATGGTCTGTTGGCCGTTTGTCCAAGAGGAGGGAGGGCAGGATGCGTGAAAGAGTGCAGGAAAATACTGAACGGTCACGAGAAGAGAGGTCGTCAATGCGATGGCGTTATTTGGCCGATGCCATTTGTCGTTCGTTTCATGGCGAGTTTTGCTGTGTTGCGGTACATGCCACTGATTTGCAGTGGTTGTGCTTGTACGAATGACGAGGCTGCTGTGGGAGGGTTAAGGTGGTGCGGTGCCGTGTAGCGTGATGACGAAGAGAGCGAGTTGTTGTGCTGCTATAGTGGACGGTTTGTTGATATGTTGTAGTTCCGGCGCGGCTGTGACTGGAGGCATCCATCCATTTAGTCGAACTTTGGTTTGCTCTCTCGTTGTCCCGCTGCTCATTCGTGGTGAAGGCAGGCAGCATTGTGGCTATTGACTTTCGTTTGTGCGACGTGGTGAAGGTGTCGCGGTGTGTGTTGCTGCCGTTCGTGTCTTGACATGGTGTGCTTGTATTCCTTTTTCTGCTGAAGCCTGCAGCAACGACGGGTGCAGGCGATAGATGTCGAAGGTTGGAGGATACGTGCATCATCGGTGTAGCTTCTTCAGTGCAAGTGAGCGCGTAACTTGTCCAGTGGGAAGGCATGGCTGAAGGTGGATGGGAAGGTATAGCTGAAGGTGTTCAGGCGTCGTGAAAGACCTGAGCATTGGAAACTAGCTCGAGACAACTGATGTCGCACGATGGAGGGCTGGTTTTTGAGCTCGTACAAGGCAAAGTGTGCATCACGTTGTCGTCAAGTCTACATGTTTGAGGAGTCGCCATTGCTTTTTGTGTGGCAGCTTCTCACATGCTCACTGCTTCTGGGAGATGGCTTGAACGACAAGCAACAAGGACTGTTGTTGTGCATCACCTTTGGCCCCACTCGTTCAGCGTTTGCGTATCTGCGTACCATACCGTCTTCTTCTTCTTCTTACACGAATACTGGCGAAGTGCGGCAGCTTGTGAACATGTTGGCCAGCGTGAGTATCTGCATCGACTACAGCCATGTATGCGTCACCTGGTCATCTGCAACGAGCGCAATGGCTCACGAGATGGTGCTGGTCGATTCATGTTTGCATCATCGACCTACGTGCATAGACGTTTGACAGGTACACTGCAAGCTGTCAGCGACGCAAGCATTTCCAGTCACATGCATTCGTGACAGCTGACAAGGCCGTCCAACACTGCCACGAAGGGGGAGCAATGACAATCACGACAAGACCACTAACGCCGCATTTGTCGTGGCCACTGCAATGCTGTGATCGACTTTGAGCGACCAAAGTGAAAGTGAAAACCACAGTCTTGCGGCGTCCCACGACTACGCGCGTATAGGAGATGTATGTTGCAATTGGCACAATGGATGGCTCCGAGCACCTGCTCACCTCACCGTCGGCAATATGACGGACCACAGAGGCCACTGACCAATGTGTTGGCAAGCGATGCAAGTTTAACGCTTTCTTTGCTTCCAACTCGTGATGTGTCTGAGGCAGAGATGGTAGGAAATAGAGTCACACGGTGTCACTGCAACTGCTACAGTACGAACAAAGATGATCGTGCTGTGTGGGAAGAACAGAACAGTGACGTGACGTGACAAAGCAGACACCACGAGTTGATGCAGTCGAACGCCGATAGCGACAAGCAGATCGAGAGGCATCTTGCAACTTTCAACCAAACAAAGCACTGAACTGTCGTTGCAGACAACGTCACTCCCAATGTCGGACCGGGGAGGAGGACCCCCCTGCAGCGAGCTTGAGCCCACCAGTTGTTCTTACTTTGTACATTCTTTCTTGCATGGCCTTCAGGACCCCAATTGACTGCTACTTGTCTCTGTCGATGCATGACGGTACCAGCAAGTTGAAAACTTTCTGCATCACCATCAAGTTGGCCATTTCACGCAATGTCTACCTGCGGTCGACCCCTGCTCGATGTAGAGTCCGACCGCACGCTCGACTGAGTGGAGACTGTCTAGCGATCGTCGAGCATCCAAAACGTCCCGGGCGGAAAGGTTCCGTCAGTAGTATACCGTTAACGGCGAGGCGGCGTCAGTCGGTCGACTGGGTCCATCAGTGCGAGGTATTCCCGCACTTCTGCCGGCGACTTGCCGGCTTCCACCAGTCTCGTGAGCACGTCTGCCCGCAGTTTCTGGTGGCTCTCTTCCTGTCGCGCCCGCAGCTCGAGCTGCTTCAGTTCGAGTTCCTGCTGCTTCAGCACGAGTCGCTGACTCTCAACCTGCAACGCCTGCTCTTCGGCTGCCTCCTGTCTCGCCCGCTCTTGCAAGGGACCCGCCATGATCATTGACGTCAGTGAAGTGCCAGCTGCAGCGAGCCCACTGGTGCCCCGTGCTCTCTTCCTCAGCGGCGACGACGACCCGAGCTCGTCACTCACTCCACTGGTAGCCACACCAGCGCTCAACGCCGTTGACATGGTCGTCGTCGGCACAGCGCCTTCCGAAGGCGGCGCAATAACCGCCACGGGGTCCTGCTCAGCGCCCACCTCGTGCTCGTTCAAAGGCCCAGCGGCAGTCGACGTCGGGGCAGCCGCGGCCACTGCCTCTGGTGTGCCCCGCCGCGCGTCGCTGTCGCGCTCGGGGCCAAAGAGCGCGTCGACCCGCCGGTAGAACGACGGCAGGTCGTGTGGGCTCTGGCGCTTGGCCTTGCGGTAGGCGGCCATGAAACTCTCAAAGCGACTGCGGGCCGTCTTCTCCGACCACTCCGTGTGCGCCACGTGGTTCATGTGCAGCGCCATGGACCGGTAGCCGTCCATCTTCTTGAGCCGCTTGAGACGGGGCGACGTCGTGGACGCTGTGGCGCATTCGCTCAGTTGGGCGCTCACGGGCTTTGTGAGGAGCGCAAAGTTCCCGGGCAGCTCAAGCCACTCGAGGAGGCACTGGCGCTGGGCGGCGGTCGTGTGGAGGAACTTGCGCTTGTCGGCGCGGCGGACGTGGCCCGGCGTGTCCGTGTCGTGGCCGCTCGCGGTGGACGACCGGGGGGACGCCGGCGCCTCGGGGTCGGCGCGGGCGCCTGGTATTGAAGCCATTGGGAGAGGCGAACGAGCGACAGTTCCACTGCCACGCAAAGTGTACGACGACGACGACTACTACTGCAATTGCTACTACGATTGCTACTTTTGGGACTTTTACTACGAATACTGCGAATGCTACTGCGATTACTGCGAATGCTACTGCGATTACTGCGAATGCTACTGCGATTAATACTGCTACGACGAGAGTGGATGCCTCGAGATGCTTCTTGTGGGTGTCGAGGTAGAATATTAGTATCAAGAGGGTTTTGGGTGACGCTCCGCTGTGGAGGAGGCTTATGTCGGTGCGGTACCCGTTCGTCCTTTTTTTCTAATTAGTGATATTGACAACGACTGATGGGTTGCTGCGGACGCTCGACGGCGTGTTTTTGAGGCGCATCTTGGCAGATTGTGGGCGATTCTTCGTGGAAATCGAGTGCGCGAAGAGAGAGAAACCTCAACGAGTCTTACGAAATGGCTGAATCCATACGAAATGCGGTTGTGCGGCTTCCTAAATCTGCAGTCTCACAGCCTGTAGCGTTCGAAACTGTTTGGCCTGGAGCACAGCCTGAACCGAAAGGTCGGAGACTTCGGTCTTCAAGTCCTCGAATAACGTCGTGGTGGTTGGTGCTGTGGCTACCGGCGTGCAGCCGGAAGTGGGTCCATTGTGGATGTCGTGAAGGGCACCACTGATTGGATACGCAGTCGCCATCAGTTCGCAAAAGCGCCGCAAATGCGTGAATCGACCTTGGAGACAACCCCACGAATCACGAACTGAATGCTTGTTGACGCACGATGCCAGTGCCAGCTTGAGAGACGCCTCGCAGAAGTAGGCACCACGCAGGTCCTGGAAATCCTGCTCGATCCATTCAATCTCTTGCGGTGTCCAGCCTGCAACACGAAGCCGCTCCATTTGAGGCAGAACGGCCGCTGTAAATTGTCGCCCACGCAGGTTCACGAGGTCTTGAGGCAATACAGCAGGCAAACGCGACACCATGGCACCGACGCCATCCATGCCAGTTACGACTGAAGTTAGACCCGCAACAAGGCCGACGACACTGGCAGCTGTGTCGTTCAGTGTAGTTTCGAACAGTGCCTGTATGCGATCGTCCTCGCTCTTGGCAGCACGTAAGATGTCGGCAGTGGATGATCCCAGATCTTCTAGTGCTGCAAAAACATTGTCGATGCTGACGGAGTACTTGCCATCCTGTGAAACGACCAAAGTATTTGTTTCGGATCGAGCTGTGCCGGCTGCTACAGCTGACTCATTACTTTTCGGTGGTCCAGAGATGCTGAACCAGTCAATCACGAACGCACGTAGCTTGACAACAGCATCCCGACGAAACAGCGTCTCTGCAGAGAAACTCGACATCTCGAGCAAAATTGGCAAAACCTCTTGGCTGACTCGTGCCGCCAAGATCACGCGAATCCACCACGTGTCTGGAGGTGAACAAGTCGCCCGATGGGTCTTAAGGTGCGCCCTGATACTCGCGCTGTAGCGCCGAAACCACATCGTGACACTGGCAATGGACCTCCATCGATTGTCGCCAATAGCTGGAGCGTCCGTCTCGATCGTACTCAGCAATGCGCGCTGCCGACTCACGTATGCGACTAAGGTCGTGAGTTTCGTGTAAATCGCTTCACCGCCTACGATCCCGCTGAAGAAGCTCTGCATGAGCGAATCAAGCTGTCGAGCAGCACAGCATAGCTTCAACGACCCAGGCTTCAACACAGTCTCAAAGCGACCGATCGCTGCGTTGCACAGCACGGTCCGTAGATCGCCTGCCTCGTGATCCATGGTACCTTCGGTCTCAATGACAACGGCAAGCACGAGGTCTTGCCATCGCGGTACGATCACGTCAAGTACTGCTTCCGTAGTGTCAAAAACACGACCCAAGCCGTCTGTGGCCAACGAATGGCAGTCATCCACTGGCATCGACAGGACGTGAAAGCTCGTAACTTCTCCGTTGGCAAACACACGAAGCTGCAAGTGCACACAATACAGTACTTGCGTTTCACCGACCAACGCGGGTGCCATGGGCCCGACCTGCAACCCGATTGAGCACACGCCGGTACTTTTCACAATATCAGCCATCTGCTGGAAATTGATCGCACAGAGGAATCGCGCATACCTGGCAGCAACGTGCACAAGTGCCTCCATTCCCTCCGCATCGAGCGATGGACTTCCAGGCACTGATTCCTTACTCGTTTGTTGTTGCAACATTGTTGCCGAAGTCGTCAGTGATTCACTTGCGCTGAGGAGATCGATAAACCGCTGGAACTGCGTCGGGTGTGCCACGACAATGCGAAACCTCGCAGCGGTTCTGTCAGCTGCTGGGCGATCATTGCCCGACTCGGTCTCGTCCACCAGATCCTGAAAATCAGCGACTGCATGCAACAGGTACGTCTGTCCAGCAGTGATTACCGCCGAAGCGTGTGGCACGAACGTACCGATGACGACCGTGACAATGTCTCGGTCGACCACCCAATGTCTTGTCGGCCGTAGCGGTTGCGGCATTACCGGTACATGTCGTTGAGGCCCGCGGTCTCTTGAAGTTGAAGTTGACTTTGAAACTGAATGTGGCGCCCGTCGAGTGGTTTTCACCGGTCGCCCGCTCGTCTCCGTGGACAACAACGCGACACCATCGGGTGCCTCGTCGGCTGAAGTAAAGAACGCCCGTCGGGTATCGTCACTTAAGAGAGCGCAGTACGCGGCCCATCGCGCTGCGTGCTGTCCCACGTGGTGGATCTGGATCGCGTCTTTGCGGAACGGAGGCTTAAACACCGCGACTTTGTCCGTCGGGCGCCGCAGCGCGCCAGCTTTGTTCTCGCGTCCAAACGACTGGCAAAACATGCACGTGGCGGTGAGCACCTCGTTCGTCTCGGGGTCCCGGTCCCTGACCCGCAGGGCGAGTTCCACGCCATATTTGGACCGGAAGGGCGCGTGCCTTTTGGCGCCCATCTTGTTTCTGGCGCTTTAGTTCTGGCACCGGAGTCGAAACTGTTGACCAACGCGGTCGCCGCTGGTTTTCCCTGCGCTTACTTTGGGTCGTCGGACTGTGGCTTTTCTTTGCCACGACACAAAAAGTCGACCTGCGTGTATACGACCTACTGCTTCGAAGTGTGGCTCTTAAGTAACATGAAACACGCCACGCTGACGTCGTACGTCAAGCAGCTGCAGACTTGGCTGGAATGGGACGTCACGCAGGGCGACGACGGGCCCGCAAAGCAGCTGTTTGTCGAGGCGTTGACGGACATTGCGGCACTGCCACTTGATAGCATGAGTATGGAGATCCGACGGCTGCTCGTCGTCTCGGGCACTGCCGTAGTGCGACCGCAGACAAGTGCAAGTCGAGAGGAGTCAAACGGAGCAGCAAACAATGCGCGAAAGGTGCACTTGGACCGCGTCGTTGCAGCGCTCAATGCACGGGACGTGCTACTGAAGTGCAAAGCTGCAAACGCAGTGGGGTCGCTGAGCATTTCTCGCGTTGCTGGCCAGCAGCTGCTCGATTCGTATGGAGACGCGATAGTGCAAAGTGTAGCCAAGATGGCGACCCGGAAGAACCAGTGGGTGCAAGGAGATGCTTTCTTTGTGCTCGGGTGGATGGTCGTGATTGCCGACGAAGCCATGTTGACGACGATTGCTGCCTTGCTGCCGACAGTGGTCAAGTGCTTGCACCGGAATGTCAAGTTGCCGTCCAACGTCAAGCGTGGAGCTGATGGAGAGGACGCGATGGAAGGACGAGTAGCGCAACAAGCGAGAGCGACGGCCCCGTTGTCAGAGAAAGAGTCGAACTTGCGGGTGTATGCGCTCGTGCTGCTGCTGAATTTCAGTCAACGACGTGTTGAGGTCTTTGAGGCTCAGTTGGAGAGGTTGCTACCCATGTTGAAAGACTTGGTGATGGAGTTACTTGAGCCGACACCGCCTCGAGGCACCACTAACGAGTCATCGACTACTTCATCGACTTCAGTGGTTAGTACGCTCGAGTATGCAGAAGTTTTGAGACTGGTCATTACTCTGTTAAGCGTGCTCGTAGATCAGCTGGGCAGCGCAGCATGTCAACTACTGGAGCTCAGGATATTGCCTCACTTACTGAAACTGAAACGCGTGCTGGACGCTGCTGCACTTCGGGAACTACTTGGTGAAAGAGAGAGTCAAGACGTTGAAGAAAGACTGGAAGCTGTCGTTGAGACCCTCGTCCATTGCCGGTAGGTAGACAGACGTGCTCGAAGCCATTGCTCGAAGACAAGGCGCTGGTGCACGTTTTGGCACCACGTGCTGTCGCTCGCCCCTACAAAGTCGGTTCGTACTTACTCGGAACTCTCTCTATAGTCATTTTCGTCTCCTGCCGCGGCCACCATGGATTCCGTTCTTGTCACGGCTGCAGACTTCAACGAGGACAAGTACAAACTGTTGCAGCTGAACCCCGAGATCGAGCGAGCTGTCACAACTGGTTCCAAGTACGTTCGTCTGTTTGTCTGTTTGCTTGTTTTGCTTCCGTCATTGATAGCGGAAAGAAAGCGACGGATAGGACATTGCAACAGCGACTAATGTCGTCTACTGTCCACATGTACTCCAGGGTGGTGATCGTAGGGGCACCAGATGCTCGAGCGGTTTTGTGCACGGCGGATCAATCGTACTATATCACAAAGGAGGACACTTCGAATTTACGTCTTCTCACGACCCACACAGACTGGAGTGGACCAGAGCAGACAACGGACAAGAGGACGATTCAAGTAGCGGGAGCTGCTCGATTCCATTACCTGGTAAGTCCATTGACTTTGTTGTGACGGACGATATACAAAGGACTTGTGCTTACTTCTGGAGGGCCTTGCGATCGATACAGCTTGAGCACAAGGCTCCTGATGCGACACTGCTGCGGGCTCTGTTGCTGGAAGCACCGTATGACAAGCCTCGGCGTGATGCTGCTGCGTCTGAAGCGAAGCGCACAAAGTTGCACACGCTGTACACGACGAGAGACTTGGTGGATGCGTTGCAAGTGAGCGAGCAGGAGGTGCTGACGATGCTGGACGAGATACACGCTTTTGAAGAAGCAGGTACATGGCGTATCTGTGAAACCGGCGTACCAGGCTCAAGTAGTTGCAGATATGCTGGATACCATCGTGCAACACGACTTGGACGCGTTGTCGGAGCCAGGGGTACCTGTGGCATGGTTCCTGACTCAGCTGGACGAGCCGTTGGTGGTCATCCGTCAATGTTGTAAGCTGTACGGTCGGCTGACGTCGATGAATGGAGAGGATCGTTGCACGTTGGACCCAGTAAAGGTTGCTGTATTCCGAGCCAAGTCGCTGTTCGACGAGCAGATAGAAGAGGCAAAGTTCCAGGCTGCGCAGGAGCACGTGGCGTTGACTGCCACGGACGTGGGCTGGGAAGTGGACTCGTTTATGGAAAAGTGGAAGCTTCGTGTGCCTGATAGCGTGTCCGTGACTCTGGATATGCTTAGCGGCCTTGTACTGGTGAAACCTCACTCGACAGGGAAGGCATCTCGAATTGTGTACTTTCCTGAAGAGGAGCTGTCGCCTGAACCCAAGAAGCGCTTCGAGCAGCTGTTTGAGATGCAGGAGAAGTGGACAATCAAGCAGCTCGAGCCGTTTATCAAGTACGTCTCTGCCCTAATGCATGCTACTGTAGCGATCAAGATGAACAGCTTTATGCTGACGCTGCTCTAGGTCTTTGATTACGCCTAGCACGACACAAGCATCGTTGCTGCTCAAGCACACGCGCTCCTCGCGTCAGTGCGGATCGACCGAGAAGCTATATAGCCGACGCTGAACTGACTGACGAAGGACGTGTGACAGGGGCAATGCGGATGCCGTGGCAGCAATAGCGATGACGAAAGGTCCAAACATTGAAGCGTGTGAATCTGTTACTCTACAGGTGCTGGAGAGCAGTGATGGTGTTTTGACTGCTTACCGCTTGGCACATCGAGAGTGGGCTTTTGATGTAGGCTTATACATGAAGGGCAAAGTGACAAGAACGCAGCGAGCTGCACGTCACTGCCCCAAACCGAAGCAAAGCCGATGTGGATGGATCATCACGAAGTTACGCATACATTTGAGCTTCCAAATAGGCAAATGGGATCTGTGGCATCAGTGGTCACGAATGGCTCGCATACGATGTTGTGTGAATGTACGCAAAATGGGTCAGGTAACGCTTCGTGACATGGCTACATCGAGATCGGACCGTCGTACAAGTAGTGAGTGAGAAGGTGGGGTATAGTTAGGTCCACGCACAACACGCTAAATCCAGATCATCGTACAAGTAGCACAGACGAGCTCAGGGTCATCGAAGCCTCTTGCGTGGTGCGAGAAAACTTCCGAGTGGAATTGTAAGCAGTAGCAAGAGGCTGCTAGATCGATACTTTCTTCTGATCGCACGGTTTACGTTGGATACATGAAAGCATGACGTCGCACTTGTCTGCATCTCATAAACACGCGCAACTTTCTGCTGACCCTTTTTGCTGCACTATGTTTGTATCTCGAGAGTTGCGACTATGGCATCTTGTGCAAAGGTTGATCCACATGTGAACAAAGCACAGGAGAAGGATCCGCTGACGAAAACGGGCATTATTAGAAAGTTGAACTGAAATTTCTGGTCGGTCGGCCAGCGATACGATGTTGTTGATGCTGCCCCTTTCATGCTGGCTTGACGTCCACGTAGGTGGTACATCTGTATCGGGGTGAGCCCGTTACAGGTACTCATTGACACCGCATTGTGTCAATGCGAGTATTTTCTTCGGTGATACCATTCATTTTAACAGTTCCCACATTTACCGTACGAAGTATAAACGGATAGAATATTACCTTTGAGGTCATATTCAGCATTACTTCACTCATTGCTTGATCTTGGGCATTATGTCAAACAAATAAATTACCCATAATCGCTGCTAGACGCGCGCAATGGTGATGAACGCGCATCTAAATAAGGAGATTATCGTTATCATTGTTCAGAAAAGATCATCAAAGAGGTTTTACCAGAATTCTCAAGCCATATTCAACACACTTTTTCTTTTCCCTTCTTCTACACGTGTCCGTTCAGGTTGTCAAGTGTAATGGGGTGGGCCGTTTCATAATAGTTGGTACGAAAGTACCAATTTTTTTAAATTATCTATTAAGATGATATTCAATTGAGATTGCTCGATGCGAGGTGATGTTGACGGAATGTTACCTCGAGGGTAACATTATTTGGGGGGCTCCACTCAAAGGTTGATGTACACAGTACATCAACCAGATTAACCACCAATCGCTGCTGGACGCGCGCAATGGGTAATGAACAAGAAACCCACAATGGAGATTGTAGTTAAATATAGTTAGACAAAGACAAAGATGGTTTCTTAACAAAAACTTAATTATATTAAATAGTGTTCTCCTTTTTCTCTTTAACAGATCTTTTGGGTTCTGTTACTTCCTTGCGCTTCCTCACGCCACTTGTACGTGACGTCGGGAGTACGCATCCTTGTGTTTTTATCTACACAAGGTCTTGCCAGTAACCTGGCAAGAAGCGTGCCCTATTACACCTTGTAGCACTTGGTAGCCCGTCCAACGACCACGACTTTCTCATCTAACATGTACATGTTAGATGAGAAAACCTTGCACGCCACGCCTAAAGGCTTCAAACATTAGAGTGACATCAATGGAATGCGGTAAAATGTATGCGTTCTACAGTAGGCAAAACCGCGATTAGCGCCATGTTTGAGTCCCTTGACAGAGACCAACAACGAGCCGCTGTTGCCAGATTTTTTCTAAATGAGCTTTTCTCCGAAAGAGAGAAAGTAGCCTTGCTTCACCAGCAAGGCTCTCGACAGCTCGGGCAGTCGAGAGAACTTGGTGCTCAGCAGTCACACGTATTGAGGTATCATAAATACAATGCTGCTGTGGGCGGAGCCACACAAACGTCGTCGTCCCGAAATTTTGAATTAGATATCATCAAGTACAGAGAATTTAAGGAATACTTCCTGTTGTAATGGTTCGTCGAACTAGACAGAGCCATAAAGGCACGTTGTAGCGACGATGAGCAAATGAAGCTTATATTTGTTCAAGCCCACTGCAGGAAGTGCCAAGACTTGGGCCTTAGAGCTCGAGATGAGCGACTAACTCACGCTCCAGTATCTAGAAGACTTGAAGACCCGGCTCAAACGAATGTTTGAACCGCCACGGGCTGAGGCCAGAGCTCGATAAGAGCTCCCAAAAACTAAAACAGGATAATAGTGATAAGCACAGTTACGCTCAGCATATACGACCCCTCACGAGTAGTATAAATCCTACCCAGTTCATGAGCACACGTTGGATACTGTGTTCAAGCAAGGGCTCGCAGATGAGCTCGTCAGGAGCCACCTGTTCCGCTTAGAGCTGGATACGCTTAAACATGCGATCACAGCTACGGAACAGGAGAAATTTAGCATGAGACAGGCTCACGTTAGCTCGAGCTCTTATCGTCCACTGATACGACAAGAGACTGAGGGTCCAGATCCGATAAACCTCCCTTATGTTGAAATCGAGATGCCTCGCTCTTCTTTGGATAGGCGCAGAAGAATAACAAAAGAAAGTGTAGATCGTGCGATCCGCATTAAGTGCGAAATATTTTAATTGGTGGAGAGTGCTCGAAGATGGACCCGTTGGCACGATCGGTGGGATCAAACGACTGAGTGACGGAAAATGACTGTAGAAGTTTTTCAGATTGAGCTACCTAACGGTCATGAAGGAGTATAGTCAAGGATCGACGATGACCGATCACAATCCGCGATCAAAGGCTTGGATCACCAAGTTACAAGGACCGGATCACTCGAGATGTGAACATCATCGAGATTACTGGATCGATAACGACAATGGAAGATAGGTTCATGTGGAAGCAGGCTGGAAGAATGAAATGTCAAGATCATCAAACATGCGAGGTCGCAAAAGTCACGGCGATTCGACGGTGGATGCTCGATCTGAGACTCGAGAGATTGACCAAGATACATCCTGGTTGTGTGGATACATAATCGGTGTGGACACCAATTGGTGTGGATTACATACCGCGATCTACTACGAAGCGATCTACTACCGAGCGATCCACTACGGAGCGATCCGCCATCCGAGTATCTGCTGTGGACCACGTGACACACGAGTTTAATTACATAGACATGCGATAGGCAACAGTGGTCTAAAGAATAGATAGGCATAGTAAAAGGTTTTGAGGTTTAATTAGTTGACATTAAACAGAATTGAATTTGCAACAAAAGACACGCGTCGACTTCTCCCGGGCTGGAAATTTGGCCTCCCGTTGAATAGAGAGCGACCTGTGTCTATAAAAACTTCACCTTTGTATTGTTTGGTCAGGCGGGACGTCAGTTCTCCCCCCATACTTCGATCAGACGCAGGGAACCTAACGGTTCAGATTCAAGATCGCGAGACGGCTCAAGTGGTCAGAAGGCTCGCGGATTAAGCATCAACCCCTAGACAAAGGCGACTCGGGGAGAGCGTCGAGTATACACGCGATCGAGTGCAGAATTTCCACTCGCTCCGCCCCTACGTTTGACCGGGTGAAGAATTTCCACCTGATCAACCCTACCCCTAAAACGGCCAAGTTCAGCTTCAGCTCAAGTCCACCAAGAAGAGCGCGCCCTGCTTACCGACGGGTACACAATGAAAGAAAGAATACACAGAGCCGGAATCATGGTTCCCCCTCCATTAGTAGGTCGTCCGGGCGCCAGTGAAGAGTCGGGATCGTCTCGCAAAACGAGTGATCACCACTCCACCACAAAGGTGCGCGTGCCCGGAACTTCTGGTGACTTGAGATTTCTTCTTGAGTCCCTGGACAAAGAAGTCAAGATCAAGACTGAACCTGGGATAGATCGCTAGAAAAAGAGGGACCGCCTCAGAAGCGTGAGAACGACGGATATTCAGATCGTCAAAGATTTGGGAGGAGCTTTAACGACAAGAAAATGAAAGAGAAAGATTGGCCGCACGATATAGAATAAACCCCCCAACTCCCTCCTGATGTTTCTTCGGGGGCCACCTTAGATCGTGCTGCAAAGCACGATCTGAAGGATGAAAGTCCTAGGGAAATCTCTAGCCGATTTTCATTCATATCACATGGACCATTAAAAAAGACGAAGAAAGAAGTAAATAGTTTGGAGGACTTTGAGAAGCTGGACGCGTTGAAACGAGATCGATACGTCTACAAGAACAGACAAGTCTGCGCCAAGATCAAGACGGAGAAGATGAATCGAGCCTCACAATCGGTGGATCGCGAAATTAAGGTTGAAGATTGGCGATTCAATGAAATCAGCCGGATAAACCATTTGAAAAAGCTGAAGAAGCTGTGATCGAGCGACCCCGTGCATTAGATGATCAAGCTTAAGCTGACCGGATCTCTACTAAGACCAATACCTGCACCCAAATTAACGTCCAACGTGTTGGAGGGGCTCCGGCGCTTGGTTAACCTGCTAACGAAGGCGAACTGCCCTGCTGAAACGTAAATGCGCAAACTCTACTAGAGTGCAACCATGATCGAGTGATCGCTGCCGGACAGTCGCTGTTTAGGACGTTGAGTCCGCTCATAGGCATACGCGACCCCGCATGCAACCCTAACCCGCCGATCGGCACCACGTGTCAACGAGTCAACGGATCACGTCGTGAGTCACGATTGATCAGGTTTCCACACCGTTAAACAATTCTACAAATGGTGAACACACGGTATCGTCCCGTTATGCTTCAGCAGAATCAGAAGAGGACTTGAACGATTCGTTCGAGATCCAATGGAGGTCGCTAGGACCATGGGCGCGGATATAT